ATTTAAAGGAACATAATCGATAAATTTCACTACATTAAAATTAGTGGCTTTTGTAGGAAAAGAAGAACCACAAAGTTAACAGAAAAGCAGCACATTGGAAGAGGATGTTTGCAGCACACATCAGCAGGCAGAGGCTGGGTGGTAAAATTATGTAAGAAGCTCCAGGGGATCAATCCGAAAAAAGCCAAACAACCCAATGGGGAAACGGGCAAAGGGACGAACAGGCAATTCACGGAAGTGGAACCACCAACAGCCAAACAGAAAGACTGTTGGCCGCACTATAATCTGAAATGCAAATCAAACAATCCCTGTGTAGCACTCGCCCACCAACTTGCCAGGCATCAAAGTCAACTCCAGGCATCACTCAGAATGTGACAATGTCGCAGGCGTGCACATTATTTCTCAAGTTGGCAATACGTAGGAAGTTAAATAGCTGCATACACCGTACCCCCCCCCCCCCAGGTGTCCATCCTAGGAAACCGGCCCACGTGGGTACGAGGAACGAGGAGAAGTGATGTAACTGCAATAGTGTTTGAAATCTCAAGAGGTGGACAACAGCCTGAACACCCATCAAGGTGGGTGGGAGCAATAATCAATTCATTGCAGTCATGGCTGTGCTTTCCCATCGGGGGGAAGTGTTAATCTGCAGAATGTGCCCATTTCTTTCTCTTTTAAAAAATATATTTTTTATTGATTTCAGAGAGGAAGGGAGAGGGAGAGAGAGAAACATCAACGATGAGAGAGAATCACTGATCGGCTGCCTCCTGCATGTCCCACACTGGGGGTCGAGCCTGCAACCGGGGCATGTGCGCTGACTGGGAATTGAACCGTGACCTCTTGGTTCACATTAGTACCAGTCAACATGGGTGACTCTACAAGCTTTGGACTCTCACAGACCTGGGAATCCACTTACTAGCCCGCGGCTTGGGAAAAGTGAATTGGTGCCTTTCTTTTTTTCATTTATAAAATGAGTGCTGTAGGGTATCCTACCTAATAAAAGAGTAAAATGTAAATTAACCATCACTCTGCAACAAAAGATGGCGGCGCCCATAGCCACAAAGATGGCGGTGCCGGCCGGAGCCACGGAGCTGGCCGGAGCGGGTGGGAGGCTTGGCTTCCTTCAGGTGGGAGGCTTGGCTTCCTTCAGGTGGGACGCTTGGCTTCTTTCGTCACCCCAGTAACGAAGGAAGCCAAGCCTCCCACAAGCCCCGGCCGGCTGCCGAGGGCTGGCCTCTGGGCAGCGGCCACAGAGCCGGCCGGAGCGGGTGGGAGGCGGCTCCGGCTCGGAGCGAAGGTGGAAGGCAGCGGCCAGAGTGAAGGCCTGGGTCCCGGGTGCCGGTGCCGGCAGCCAGGGGAAGGAAGGCCTATTCTTGCAGGAATCTTCGTGCATCGGGCCTCTAGTCCTATATAATAAAAGGGTAATATGCAAATCGGCCGAGTGGTGGAATGATTGGTTGCTATGATGCGCACTGACCACCAGGGGGCAGATGCTCAATGCAGGAGCTGCCCCCTGGTGGTCAGTGCACTCCCACAGGGGGAGCGCAGCTCCCCACAAGCTGGGCTGACGGCTGGTGAGCGCAGTGGCAGTGGGTGGCAGCAGTGCTAGGGATGTCCCAGGCCAGTGATGGTGAACCTATGACATGCGTGTCAGAGGTGACACGCGAACTCATTCTTTTGGTTGATTTTTCTTTGTTAAATGGCATTTAAATATATAAAATAAATATCAAAAATATAAGTCTTTGTTTTACTATGGCTGCAAATATCAAAAAATTTCTATATGTGACACGGCACCAGAGTTAAGTTAGGGTTTTTCAAAATGTTGGCACACCGAGCTCAAAAGGTTCGTCATCACTGTCCTAGGGTCTAAGCCAGCTGTGGGCAAACTACGGCCCGTGGGCCGGATCCGGCCCGTATGAAATGAATAAAACTAAAAAAAAAAAAAAAAAGACCGAACCCTTTTATGTAATGATGTTTACTTTGAATTTATATTAGTTCACACAAACACTCCATCCATGCTTTTGTTCCGGCCCTCCGGTCCAGTTTAAGAACCCATTGTGGCCCTCGAGACATCTCCTGGTCTAAGCCGTCAGTCGGACATCCCCCGAGGGCTTGCAGACTGCTAAAGGGTGCAGGCCGGGCTGAGGGCGCCCCCTCTAGTAATAGTATAAAATATGTGCAGCGTCCCCCTGGGGAGGACTGGACTTGTGTGCTCTACTGAGCTCCATTGAGGCCATGTGACCAGTCACGTCCCTGTTGAACTCATGAGTGGTTGTTGTGACTGACTTGGGCCAATGAAGCTATAAGAGTGAGCTTGTGGCCCTGTCTCTCTCTTTTGCCTCTGCCATGAGCCCAGCAATGTCCACATCTGGGGCTCCTCCACCACCCTGGTTCCCAGAGTAAAGAAGACAGGGGTCAGAGCTGCAGCCAACTCGACGTGGGCATGTAGCACGAGTGGGATGCCCATGCTGTGAGCTGCCGCCCCTGGCAGGGGAAGCCATGGCTGCACTATCACCCAGGCCCTCTGGCTGAGGCAGAGTCCTCATGCTTCTGGACAGATTAAGATAATGCATTCGGAGTGCACAGCCACCACCTGGCAGACGGGGATGTAGCAGTCAGCACAGGGGAGGTTATGCTGCAGTAACAAACAAGCCACACATCTTAGTGACCAAACATATCACATGTTTGTTTCTTGCTCACCCCACACATTGTATATGGGCCCTGTTCTTGCGTTGTTCAGGGTCCCTAGCTGATACAGGATCTATCTTGATAGATACTTTTTCAAGACCCTAAGTCTAGAAGAAAAAAAAAAAGAATCGGAGAAACCACATTCATGCTCTCAAAGCTCCAACACAGAAGGACACCAGTCACATCCCCACATTCACCAGCCACAGCAAGTCTCACGACTACGCCGCATTTTTAGTGGGTCGGGAAGTGCACATCTGCCCCGTGTGCAGGAGACAAGAGGGAGGATGTGTGAGGTCAGCACTGAGACCTCCCCGTAGCCAGCCAGTCGATGCGGGCAGCTGCTGCCAGATCACCGCTGGTCATGACAGTGAGGCTGAGCCCCAAGGGGAGGAGCGGATGCGGGAACGGCACTGTAGGCAGGGGCAGCGTGCACAGACGCAGTGTTAGAGGGGCCTGCCTGGCTCGGTTTCACCATGAATGTTCGAATGTTCACGGAAGAAGGATGGTACACCAGGGGATGGGCGGGAGGGGCCGCACTGTGAGACCTTTAGACTTTAGCCTGTGGATGCTGGATCCTCGAACATCTGAAGCAGGAAAGTCAGCTTTCCGCCCCCTGAGGGAGGGTGAGCCCAGTGCCGCGGGTGGTGAGGAGGGAGGGGTTTGAGAGCTCTGAGAGCCTGGGAGATGGGCGGGCTGTGAAGGGTTGAGGGTGAGGGTGAGGACGGAGCAGGATTCCAGTTCCTCCTGCGTGGGGAGCGGGAGGGGTGCCAGGTTCCCCGGGTGGGGGAGGTGAATGGCTAAAATCATTAACAGTGACAACACCTGGGCTGAGGAGGATGCAGAGCAACAGGGACTCTCTCCTATCAGCTCCTTGGTTAACTCTTTGACATCAGCTGCTATGCTCTCCACACACCGGCCATCACCGGCAATTCCCTGAGGAGGGTCTACACCCCACGGAAGCCAGGCCCCGTGTTTGCTGTGACGTATTTATTCATAGTCACCTCCAGGCCAAAACCCGGCTAAACACCCATCCACAGGAGGACTCACTGCAGTGAGTTTCTACAATGGAATATTATACAGCAATGAAAACGCACACACTGCAGCTGCATGTAATGTAAACTAATGAGTGAACCTCAGAAACAAACGTGGAACCTAAGAAACCAGATACAAAACCCCTCCTGGTCTATGGCACTATTTCCAGAAAGCCCCAAGTAGCAACGTCACAGTGTTCGCAGTCAGAGGGGTCAGCCTGGAGGAGGTGGCAGATCAAGAAAAGAAGGGACTGATATTTTGGGGGGGGCCTGTGCGGTGCCAGGCACCGTGTACCATGCGGTTCAGGTTACACTGGTAACAAGGGAAGGCAGGCGGGAGATTCCTGCTGGCAGAAGCCCTGGGTTTGGTGGAGAGAAGGATGAGGAGGGGCAGGGACTCCCAATTTACAGCCTGTTTTTGGGGTGACCCAGGGCTGTTCCAACACTGTCTTACCAGTAAGTAGAGAGGTGGAGCATGAGGAGAAATCACGGAGCTCTGCCTGGAGGAGGCCACCTACTCCCAGCCTCCCAGCCGTCTCATCTAGAGCTGTCTTTACCTTGTAGAGTGCTGACCCTCCCCGAGGCCCCCAACCCCACCCAGCATCTTCCCACAGATGCGGTTTTGCGCTGGGGTAGCCCTCCAAAAGGGAACGGGTCCCACCCACCTTTTCTACCAAAGAAGGGCATCCTGTACCCCGCCCTCCCCCGTCCTTCCCGCGTCGCCTACGCTGACCTCCTGCCCCCCCTCTTCTAATGCCTTCCAATTGGCCATCTCTTCCATAATTGCAGCACCTGGGCACTCAAGGTGCCCCTGACAGCGCAGCTGGCCAGCGCCCCTCCCTCAGCCGGCCATCTCCTCCCTCCCTCCCCCGCGGCGTAACCGGCACCAAAGGTGCCCCCGTGAGCGCCGCCGCGCCCAGGTGCCGCCTCTGGGCCGCTCCACCTGCGGGGCGCCGGGGCCGGGGCGGCGGGCAGCGGCCGCGGGGGCGGAGGGGCGGGCGGCGGAGGGAGGGGCCTACGGCGGCGGCGGCCCGCGCAGCCCGGCTCGGCCCCGGCTCGGGAGGCGCAGCGCCGTGCGCGTCCCCTCCCTCCGCCGCCGCCGCCGCCAGGCGCCCGGACACCAGGCCGCCGCCCCCGGGCGCACGGACGCAGCGCGCACCGGCAGGGATGCGCGCCCGGGCCCCGGCCCGCCCCCACCCGCGGCCGCCGCCCGCCCGCCGCGCGCGTATCTGACCGCGGCGCCCGCCCAGCCGCCCCGCCCGCCCCCGCCCGCCCCCGGCCGCCCGGCGCGATGCCCGCCCCCCGGGGCCCCGGCGGCCCGCGCCCCTGCTAGGCGGCGGCGGCATGGCTCGCGCGCCCGGCCCGACCTCTGCGGATTGTCTCGGTGTGCGGCGGCGGGGCATGCCCAGGGCACCGGGCACGGCCTTCAATGGGCGAGGACACGGACACGCGGAAAATTAACCACAGCTTCCTGCGGGACCACAGCTATGTGACTGAAGGTAACGTAGTGTTGTCTGAGGCCCCCTCCGGCCGGCCGCGGCGTGGGGATGCCGTCGCACCGAGTGCCCTCCGAAGGTTTGGACCGCGCGCTGTGTGTCGTGTCCCCCCGCCCCACCCCACCCAACCCCGCCCCGCCCCGCCCCGGGTCCGGGAGGGAGGGAGGGAGCCCCACGGCACCCCGCTGCCCAGCGCCCTCCTCCGCGCCGCCCTCGGGCGGGCAGCTCTCCGCCGGGCCTGGCGGCGCCCTGAGTTGGCCCGGGCCGTCATGTTTAAACAGGCCGCCCTGCGGCGAATCTGGCGCAGAAATCCCGGGAAAGGGGATGGCTTAGGAGCCTGGGCTTGCCGTGTCGGCCCTGCCCCAAGCCCGCAGAATTTTCTAGGCTGTCCACTCCCTGGAGACGAAGAGGGACTCAGGGGGAAAGAAAAAAAATGCATCGCCAGATTCCGGGGAGGCTCGCTGCCCTTGCCCCTCCCTGTGCCTCCCAGGCAGGGCCCGAGGGGGTGGGAGGAGGCGGCGGGTTTGGGGCTGGTCCTTTATTCCTGGTAACTTATACTGACACAGAAGCAGCTGACCCCAAACTGTCAGATTTTGCAAAAAAAAAAAAAAGTGGGACACGCCACCCCAAAAGGGCCCTGCATGTGAGATTCCCTAAATTGGCCCTAGAAGCCCGAGCCCAACCCCGCCCAGAGGCTGGAGGGATTCGGAGGGTCCATGCCTCCTCTTTGAGGCCAGTAACTTCCAAGGTCCCTGCGCGCCCCTCCACCTCGCCCTGGGGACGTGGGCGGCAGGGCCTGCGGAGGGCAGCGCACGGGGGCGGGAGGGGGGCGGGCAGGTGTCAGCTCGCTGCAGTGGGGCCGCGCATCTGCCCAGCTCGCGGGGTTAGGGGCTGCCTGCATCTCCCCTGGCCGCTGCCGAACGCGCTGCGGGAGTGTTCGTGGGCTTTTAGTAAGAGGTCCCCGATGGGCACCCCAGTGGGAGGGGCCCGGGGCCTGGCGTGCCGCGGGGCTGGTGCGCGTGGGTGCCTGTGTCCGGGAGCCCGCGCCCGGGAACCTGGCCGGGGAGCCTGTTCGGGCTCCGCAGCGGCGACGGTGACTCGCCTCCCGGTGGTGTCCTCCGCCTTGCTGCCTGCTCCGCCGGAAATGAAGCCGAGGGTAGCCCGAGCTCCGCGGAGGCCGAGAGCGCTGGGCCCAGGCAGGGCGGGCTCCCAGGGCGTCCTGACCCAGGGGGCAGAGGCTGGGTGTGCACCCCGGGCTGCGGGTGGCGCTCCCCGCTCCCCGGACGAGAACCGTTGAGTCATGCTTGCTGCTGGGTGTGTGTGGGAGAGGGAGCTGGCCTGCCCCCTCCCAGGGCCGGGTGGGCCCTTCGCCGCTTGCCTTGCCTTGGGGAGGTCCAGGAAGGACCGTGTGTGTCCTCTGTCCTCTCTGCCCCCAGCTGCGGAGTGCCCCACGGGGAGAGGCCTCTGGGCTGCTGGCAGGTGCCCAGTGGTCAGGCTCTGGCCCAGAGAGAGGGGGTCTTGGCAGGTCACTCCAGGCTGGCTTCCTGGAGGAAGCCTCGTTTCCCATCTCCATGGAGGATGGGGCAGCGCAGGGCTGAGTGAGTGAAAGTAAAAAGCCTCCCCCTTCCCCACCACAGGGGCCATCCCAGACACCGAGTCCTCTCATCCTTTCTGCCCCTTCTCTTTCACGCCCCCCCCCCCCCCCCCCCCCCCCCCCCCCCCCCCCGCAAGGGCAGTGCAGCAGAGGAGACTTGAGGGTCTGTAGTTCCTCTTCATTCATTCAGCAAATTGTCACTGGGCACCTGCTGTGTGCCGGTCACCTTTTTAGCCCAGGGGACTGGGCAGAGATCCTGCCCTTGGGCAGCCCATGTTCTTGAAGGGGGTCCTGTGATGTTGAAGAGACCCCCCTCAGTGTCCCCATCTTTAAAATGGGAGTGGCTAGTATCCTGCCTACAGGTCCTCGGTGCCTGTGAGGGTCAGGAGAGACGGTGGAGAAAGACGCCGCCTGGGGATTATAAATTGGTAACTAGCAGCGGGAGTAGCTGAGCTCCCATGGTGCTCTGGGGCCTCACACAACAGCCACATACTCCTCCTCCCCATTTACAGATGAAGAAACCGAGGCCTGCCCTTTGTCCGCACACCAGACTGGGCGCCAGCTGTTTGTAGGGTGTAGGGCTCGGGCGCCGGGGGCGCAGAGAAGATCAGAAGCTCCTGCCTCAGGGAGGGCAGGGTCTAGTGGAGGAGACAATAGCACAACTATTAGAAGCAGAAGGATAGATCTCTGGCCTTCCTGTGTGAAACCTGACGCGCACACTGTTGCATCTCGCTTGCATTTTGTGCTCAGAGCGCAGGGTAGTCACCGATTTGGATGTCAGAGGGACTTGTGTTCAAATTCTGCTTCTGCTGTTTCCCGGGCTGTGCAGCCTTGGACAAGTCACTAAACCTCTCTGTGCTTCACTTTCTTCCTTTGTGAAGGGAGAGGTGCTAATGGCCTCCGAGGTCGCTGGGACAGTCAGCGATTATGCCAATATAGAGAGCACTGAACCCAGCGCTGGGTCTGTTAGGAGCATTTAATAACCCGCCGTTAAAATGTAAGTCTTGTTCCAGTGAGAACTCCATGCGCAAATAGTGGATGCTGGGAGTTTTCAAGAGACCCAGGTGTGCGAATGCCTGTCCCACCGGGTCCTTTGGTCCACAGATGCTTGGATCCCCTTCCTATTCCGTCAGCAGGCCACTTTCCTTGTTTCCAGGCGTGTCCTCTCCTGGAACACCTCCCCCTGCTCTTCTCATGGCTGACTCCTTCTCATTCTTTGGGGCTCAAGTTAAATGCCATCTTCACAAGTAGGAGTCCTTCTTGAGTTTCTGAAGAGCTTAGGTTTTGTTAGTCATTCACCCCTTAGTGTGAATTAGTCAGAGCGGCATTTACTCTGGGTCTGACTCTGGGCAGGCAGGGATGGACCAGACACAGGATCTCACAGAGAGGGGAGGTGGCCGGGAAGGTGGCAGGTGGCTGGGCCTCTTTGGGAAGCAACAGCCACTCCCGGACGCCTGACAGAGAATGCACTCTGGGGGCTTGCTTTCTGCTGGGTCCACAGCTTTCCCTCCCTGCAGCACCTCTGCCCCTAAACTCTGTTGTACGCACGTGCCTCTCTCATCCATGGACAGAAATGCTCCCTTTTCTCTAACCCTGTATCTTTGTGTGCGCCACGTGACTTCAGAGTAATCGGTTTATCTCTACAGAGTTGAGGGCAGAAAGGGGGAGCTCAGAGGAGGGAAGGGACTTACTCAGGAACTGGCAAGGTCAGGAGGGGACCAGGCTTCTCTCCACCCAGCATGTGGGCATTTTTTACCACATGGGATCGCCTTCATGTTTTGAACTCGTGCCCTGGATAATGTCAGCTTTCTGCCCAGGCCTAAGCCCTGCTGGTGAGGGGGTGCCGCCTGTGGGAAACTCCGCCTCAGCCAGATTTGCACCCTGTGGTGGGTTTTGTGGCTGATTTCCCAACAGTTAGTCCTCACCCTCCGGAGAACATGGGTGGTTCCCAGCAGGAGACTTAATCCAATTATGTGCAGCCAGCATGAACCAGGGCAGCCCCACTCCCCTCGCACCGACTGGCTCCAGGACGGGGAGGCAGCTGATCTGGCGTCGGGTGGGAAGTAGAGAGAGCGCAGGAAGCCAGCCCCGGCCTGTGATGGAGCACGTAAGCCCAGCCACCCCGCTGATGGCAGGGCAGAGTGAGTGAGAAGTGGGCATGCAGGAGACACCTCTGACTCCTTGGATGAACCTGGCCTGATCTGCACCCGCCTCTGGATGTGCCAGGGGCTTAAGCCGATTGCTGTTACTTGCCGCCGATGGCACCCCCACTCGCGCAGCCTTCACGGTTGTCCAGACCCCGAGACAGGTGCCCGTCACTCGCCACCACCAGATTCAAGATTCACGCACCCCGGAGGGTTCTGAGTTGCTTGCTTTCTGTTGTAGGAAACGTCTTCCATCTCTTTTCTTGGGTTCCAATCAAAGCTTCCGGTCTGGTTTCCTGCCTGGGGTTCTGAGCTGGCGTTTCCAGCCCAATGAGATACCCAGGATCTGGGGTCGGGAGACCCGTGTCCTGTGGGGTCTGGCCCTGGTCCCTGATCCCCGGCGGCTGCGCAGTCTCTCCCAGCCTGTTTCTTCTCCGGATTGTTGCTTAGGTCACTTGAAAGGAGGGATGTGCAGTCGTTTGATGCTGCAACCTCTCCTCCATGAACTCCCCACCCGAGGCTTTAAATAGCCTGGTGGATGGGAAGCGCCCAGCCCAGGGCCTGGGCACAGCCCGCGTTTAATAAATATCGCCCGCTAACAGTGATGTCTGTTCCTTAGGGTCAGAGTCAGACTGGCCACCCAACGCCATCCCCACCCCGGAGACCGCAGCTAAGAGGGGCACTTGCTTATGGGGTGCCCTGGAGCCAGCCCAGGGGGCCCGGGGGGCCAGCCTCTGACTGGAAAAGCAGGTGCGGGCTGCTCAGGTCTTTGCCCCTTTGCGCCGTGTAGGAGTGCCCCTGCGTAAGCTCCCCTGGGATTTTACAAACTCTCGCTGTCGCCATTTCAGGGCGGGGCGGGACGGAGGCTGCTACAAGTCGCTTTTGGGTGTCCTAGAGCACATGGCCCCCCTGAGCCTCAGTTTCTCGGCACTGCTTCCCGCCCTGGGTGTCACAAGGCCCCAGGGAGCGGAGGCCATGTGGACTCCAAAGGCCTCCCCCTGTGTGGGGTACTGTCGTTCTGTTTCCCCAAACTGTCACGCTGTAAGCCACACACTCACTCACTTTTCATTCACCCTGACTCGAGTCACGGAGAAGGGTTTTTCTCATTTTCTCTCTGCAAGGTGGAAATCGAATTCTAATCCGTGTTTCCACACCACCGCCTGGTTGTGTACTTGCGACAGCTTTTGGCGTTTGTCCTGAAAGCCCGCAGAGCCACGGGGTGTTCCTGTAGGGGTGTCTGAGGTCCTGGGAGGGGCGTCTGTGAC